AACTAATCTTCATGTTGCAATACAATGTATAATCTTTTTATTAAGCTATTTTTTTAATCTATAGCCATAAAAATGAGTTACACTGGGTTACAATATATATATAACTTTAAAAAATAACACTCCTTTTTCCACATTTCCTGACAGGTTGCAAGCAAGCTTTTCTGTGCAAAATGTAAGAAGTGAGAAACTTCACCTTCAACCCTCCTGGGATTAAGCCTAATTGTTTCAATTTACTCATTCTTGAGCTTTGGCAGCTGGTTAACTAGCTGACTTCAAGCCAGTCATCCTCTCTCAACCCAATCTGTCCCACAAGGCTGTTGTGAGAAGGAGTGGAGGAAGGAGTGCTGTGTACAGCGCCTTGGGATCCTGGAGAAAAGGCAGGATGTAGATCTGACTAACTAACTAAATATTTACATAAGAACAGTATATGCAATACTTAGATTCACACATTGCCTGAAGCTAAGATTTCTTCAATGAGCTGTAATGGCTGGATACACACATTATACTAGAGGATAAAATGTGTCTTAGAAACCCAATGGCTGAATTAAGCTAAAACCAAAACAAAATTCATTGCAACTAACAGCCAGTTACTGGCTCAGAAGCAGGAATACTAATGAGATTAAATACCGTCACACCTAAGTTTTACTCAGAACTAATGTGGTTGTTTTAAAAAATATGTTTCGTATATTACAGTTATATTGCCTGCCTTTTTAAAGATAGCATCTTCAAGGAAAAGATAGATATGAATAAATATTTAAAGTGGTGGTTTATATAAACCGCCAACAGGAAAAAAAAATGTACCCTTTTGTTGCTCTGATTTACTTTCCTTCAGCACACATGGTTCTTTGCTTTATCCCAGGGTGCCAAATCCCTTGTCAGTCTTGCCAAGAAAAAGACAGAGGCAGGAGATGACCTGAACACCCCGGATACAGGCAAGCGTAAGTTCCTGTTCCAACATAAAGATCTGTTTGTTTTATTCAAAGACAATATCATTGTGTAAATAAATGCCAGGCAATAAGAAGGATGCAGAAATACTGGTATCAATGCCATTTACCAAATATCGGTCTCCAGCTTTGTTCTTAAAAGGATAAAGCAAGTGTAGTTAAAAGAAAGCTCTAGTTTAATATATACTCAGTCAATGGGACTATGACAGAAACCTCAACATGGAAATATTTATGCGTTCAACTGCATCTCAGTTGTCCGCATTGTGAAATCTTTCAAAATGCACACAAGAGAGATATACACACAATTATTCAAACAGACTGAGTAGCTATGAATCTCAAATGAAATTATATAGAATCTTTAGTTTGCTCAAAGAAATTATCTCTACGATACTTACAAGGAAGGCGATATCTAATATCAATGTTCAGTCATGTTACTGTCTCTGAACATCAAATGCCCAAATTTGTAAGATAAACTTACCATTTCTACTAACACAGTTGCACACTTGTAAAATGTTTATCTGTATTTTAGAAGTTATACATCTGATACAAGGCAATGGATTGTACCTGGGCATTTTAAAAAATTAGTCTCTGCTAGTTAATCCACTGTAATGTGGTTTACTAAACATGACGTCATGAAAGTTGGAGAAAAGATAAAATGAAAATCTAAAAACAAAACAAAAATGAGAACATCTAGATTTGCTAACAATCTTTAATATATTTTATTTAGACTTTACCATCTTTCTATTTAGATGGATCAGGAACTCAAAAACCTGATTTGCAGATTTAAAGAGAATTCAGGAATGAATTAAAGAATTTGGTTAGATAATTTGGATAGCTGTCTTGAGAAAAGTGTTCTTGTGAACTGGTAAAAGGTCTAATGGCAGTTCCAGTATAACATGTTGGCTGGGAATTACAGGAAATGAATTCCAAGATAATACTAAAGCACCACCTTAGGAAAGGCTGCTTATACTATTCTTTGTCTATATTTAATAAGGAAAACTGTGGGAGAATAATATTTCATCTATTTAGCAATCTAAAATATTTACTTCCGTGGTGTATTGTGCGAAGCTAAAACTGGAAAGATGGGCAGAGAATCTCTGCAACATCTTCATCAACCTCTGATGTTACTTTTACATGAAACTGCCTTCTATTATCTCTAGCCTATATGGTTGATATATGACTGGTTGAAATGATAAGAGCTGTAGTCCAATCAACACATATGGAAGATGCTACATTGGGGAGACCTACCCTAAAATGTGAAAGAACATATAAACAGAAGGGTTCAATAGTATTTTTGATTGCTGTGACAGGGAGCCATGAAACCTAAAACTATACATTGGTTTTATACCTTGGCTTTTTTATCATTTTATTTGTTTTGCCAAAGATAAAACTGAAGCTTGTTTGATTCACTTTAGAGCACGGGTGTCAAACTCGCCATGTCACGTGACGTGTTGCGACGCACCATGACTCTTTTTGCATTGCTGGCAATGAGGTTGGCGTGGTTTCGGTATGATGAAACTGGCTGCGGGCCAGCAGTTTGACACCCCTGCTTTAGAGTAACACTCAGTGTTGTATTAAACTTATACACTATAATTGATAGAGAATTAAGGAGGTAACCCTATATCTGGACTTCCAGATACAAGATTCAGATGCCAGAAAGATGGCATCATACACATCATTGCTCTTTCTTGTATTTCAGTGGGGAAAAGTTCCAATGCTGGCATATGCACTATTTTATGTGAACGATACATTATTCTACGAAGGAATGCTATATGGTAAAATCCACACCTTGTGTCTTTTAGCCAAAAAAATGTTGGCCCCCAAATTAATTGCTTACTGGAGTACTGTAAATAGTTCCCAACTGCTACCAATTTGTTGCTAGGACTAACACTTGTTGAGCCATTCAAACATTAATTTCCATAATTAACTAATATAATCCCTCATGAAACAGCTTTTTTCATGGTGGGACAATCCTACAGTATATACATAAGAGAAATATGGGCGCTAGTGATGATTCACAAATTGATGCTGGAAGGTAATAACATTAAATCCGTAATATCCCAAATGAGTACTTCACAGAAGATGTCAAGATTTGTTATCTCTTGTCTTAACAGACAGAACCAGGTCAAATAGGCTTAAGTTACAAAATAATAAATTTAACTGAATATTAAGGAAAAATCCTTGACAGGAAGCAGAATGGAACCAAGAAGCTATCAGATATGAAATGCCCTCAGAGAAGTCTTGAGAATGAAGGCTGGACATATATTGGAATATTCTTCCTTTAGATTTCCTGCGTGAAACAAATGCTAAAGCTTGCAACTATCCAAGACCCCATATGATTCAAAGAGTCTGTGTTGTTGTGTCTCGTGATGCGTCACCTTCCTCAACTATGCCTTTCTCTTTTATCTCTGACTAAGTCTTCATTTACCAGATTAGTACTAAAACCACATATTGGTTTTAGTTTCTTCCTGGGTCCCACTCCAACAAGTAGTTTGTGCACTTATTGTAGTTTATGCTCTGACATAAGGTATAATTATGGTAATTGCCAAAGATAGTATAAGGAGTAGACACTCTTGAAGGGAAAAAAAAACACTGCTTGCACACTTCAAATCTGAAAATTCCATTTAATTTCAGGCAAGGCAACATGCAGGGATGAATCACAGTTTATACATGGAGGGGGTGAATCAAGGTTGAAAAGAGTTGAAAGCTATTAGGGACACCCCCTAGTGAGATTACAGATCCTCAGCTTTCTTTTTTTCAAAAGCTTGTTATCTCCAATGGGTGGAGTTCATATTTACATACAAAACCATAATAACCTGTCAGTGATCCAAAATAATCAGCAAGAGTGTGAATCTAAAGCAGTCTGGAATTTAGTAGGTTCAATAGCACCCACTTCTTTATTATTCCTTATTTTCCTAAATACTACTTTCTAAATGTATCAGACTGCAACCTAGAGTTTCCCAAACCCCAAGGATGGTAAGAGGGAGGGGAGAGGAGTTAAGACCAAAATGTTACAAGGACTCAGGTTGGAAAAGGATGATCCAGTGGAAAAGAAAAAAAAAAGTTTATTGAGCTTGTAGCCTAAAACCTTTTTGAAAGAGGATACTATGCAGGATCTTCTCTGTGGTTTGAAAATATATTTTATGCAAAGATATTATGCTGATTTAGTGTATAAACGTGATACGTAGTAGTTCTGCTTCATTACTGCTTAGGCAAATTTCCTAAATTTAAACCAGGAATTGCAAATTCTGGCCTCAGATGTGGCCAAGCTACAACTTCCCTCAGTATTCACCATTTAAATGTTTCATCACATTTTTGTTTAAATTGATAACATTTGGGTTTTTTTAATGTTTGAATCCATATGCATTTTTATGCTAGTTTCTCCTAATATGTAGGAGCTAGTTTTTTTTCTTTAGACATATACGTTTTGCCAGCAATTCTTCCAATATAATGCTTTTCATGCATGCTTTTACTTCATACCTCCATTTTATATGCAGTTTTGGGAGAGGCAAACTATCCAGATTTTTTTAAGAGAGTTTCAGCATGCAAGCATGTTCCAGTTCACGCTGGGAAACTGGCTGAGTTAGCATAAACATGTGAATTGTCCCAAGTAAAAAGATCTTTTGCCGCAGGCATCATAGAGCAACAACTTTTCTGAGACTTCACCAGCTGATAAAGTATCATCTACCATGAGACAAATACATGTTGAGAATGGATCACCCTCTCTTTGTGGAGAAGGTTGCTGATTTTAAAGGATGGGTGGGAAAATTAGAAACATAGTGTAGGAAATCAGCACCTTCCCCCAGAGAAGGAAATATCTGGGGGAATATTAAAAAGGCAGAATGTTATATTTCCCCAAAGGAATAATAGAAAAATCTTAGGAGATGCAGAAACAGCCCAGTCTCCCCCAGACAGAAACTGAGCAGGCCAGCTCTGTAGAAATGCAAATTTGATAATCCTGGGTCACCTATTCATAAGCAAAATGTTTTCAGTCACAGCCCCAGTGAAGCAGGACATGACCTTTAGGATGTAATAGGATTAACCCACCACCATTACTATACCAAAAACTCAGGTCAAAGTACATGACACAGAACAGAAACAACCTCAAACAGGAACAACTCCAAACACAAAATCTCAAAAAGGTATAAAAACACTCACTCCCAGCTCTATTTTGTCACCCACCCCAGAAACATGCTGTCTCACTGAAGTTTCTGGGAACTCAATAAACAGAATCTTCTTTCCTAAGCAGTCTCCATTTTGTTTATTCCTGGCTTGGACTGGATCCTGATGATTTTTCTTTCAATAACAGATTCCACATCTTTTGTGTTTCCTCACTTTCACCAGTGTTTTGTTTATTTTTCTCAAACTCTTCCTCACTCCTCCTTCACAGTCAAGAAAAGCCCCTTATGTGTTCTCAAAGCAGCATTACTGAGGAACACTCATGGTAGGGACAGCCAAAGTTCACTAGCCCCATTGTGGGACTATGGATTGTCCCTTTTCCAAGTCAAAATTTCAGACTGCTCCTTCCAGTTAGCTGTCTCCCAAGCACTGGGAGATATGAGGTGTATCCCTTGATAAGATGGGCGGGAGCCATTCTCTAAGCATAAGCTATCTTTAAACTCCCTAGGAAAATCTGCTCCTGTTTAAGCTATCTCATTCCTGGAACGAGCATGAAAGACTGCCAATCCATTGTCTGTGGCACCCGTTTTCCTTCAGGGATGCATGCGGGATCGAAAGAGGCCTCCTAACATATTTCCACCACATTTTCTCATTATTGCACCCTCACAACACACACACACACACACAGTGTGAGTGAGTGAGTGAGTGAGAGAGGGGGGGGTTATCTCAGGAGTCTGGGTGAAATATCACAAATATGAACTATTCTTCAGCATCTTTTAGATACAGATTCCCTCACCACCTTCAGATACAGTCCTGATATTCCTACATTAAAATAAAAAGAGAGCAGCAAAAACCAGTATGGCTGGATGGAAGCCCACATCCAGAAGGTTTAGCCTCTCTGCAAGTCAGAGGTTCTCCTCATGCTGGCCAACTGTGCCAAATCGGGAGGGAATTCTTATAAGTTTTCCCTTTTCTTTTTTGGAAATATATATATTTTCCTTTTCTGCCTGCCAAGATAAATCTTCATTTCCAGCTGTGACATCTGTGTTTCCCTTCTCTCCTTTCAGTAAGGAATGAACCTTCCCCCATCACACTCCAGCTTCACAGTTGAGGTTTCCATTACTCTACAACAAAAGAAGCACTCTAACTTCCACCCATTCTTTACATGCTTTAAAAGAAAAATGTGATGGTAAATTTTAGTGCTCATTAAACTGACAACACTAATAAGAGACAGGCAGTAGTGGGATTTAAATATGTGAACAACCAGTTCTCTGTGTGGATGCCGCTTCAGGAAGTCCATTCTGGGCCTGGGCAACAAAAAATTAGCTACTGGTTCTGCTGAAGTGGTGCGAACTGGCTGAATTCCACCACTGGAGACTGGCATCATATACGGAGTGGCTAAGCATAGTTTAGCCTGACAGTGAGGTTTAATGTACTTCAGCTCTTACTAGGAACTCCTCCCTATATTGTATTCGCTCTTTCTTTTCCAGTTGTTTCATATTGTTTCTTCTTAATCAATATATATCAGTAATTCCACATAGCAATCACATTACAAACCAATCTAAAATTAACACTTATAATGCTAAAACTATGGGACATGGGTGAAAGTAATGGTCAATACTCCAGAAAGATAATGTAAGTAATGGTCATTTATGTTCTTCCCTGCAAGGAGATAAATATGACAGGCACCATATAGATTTTCATGAATGTCCACAGAAATAAGATGATGATACTGTAGGTTGATTATCTAATGTTCTTAATTAGTGATGAGATATAGGAACTCAAAAGGCAGAGCACCCATGATCAGATCTAGGCAATGGTCCCAGCCCCATTCAATTCACAAGCATGGCTGTAATGTATAGATATGGCTGGCTAAACAATGTCAAATTTCCCACAAATTGCATATAGGCTGCTTGAAGGAAGGGCTGGATAAAAATGTAATAATAATAGTAAACTACAAACTAAATCAATTAATACAGTGTTTCTCAATTTGTGTGAACTTCAACTCCCAGAATTCCCCAGTCAGCATGCTGGGGGAAGGGGAAGAGATCTTAAAGTTGCTGAGAATGAGAAACATCAGACTAATAACCGGCAACAGGCTAAATTTACAAGCAATAAATGAGCCAAATGAATATTTTAGCCTTGAAACATGGGTGATAGTCAGTTTGTTACATACTAGATTTATTTTTAGGACGTGTTAGCCAGATTAATCTGTTGCAGCTAAGCCCTTCCTCTGAAAATCTAAGGTCTCTGATGGTAATATTTACACACTCATTTAGAGTAAGTCTCTCACTGTGTACTGCAGCTGACTCCCAGATAAGCATAAAAATATAAGAAGAAGACTTGTTCTTTCTCATTCTGGAATACAAAATACAGTATGATGGATTTCCATTACAGAAACGCAGATCCCAACTAAATATCTGGAGAAACATAAAAAGCTGTTTTACTGTGGAACCACTTACCTAGACAGATGTGGGTTTCCCTTTATTTGGTTTAAGCAGAGATTAGATAGCTGCCAATCTAGGATATTTTAATTTGGGTTTCCACCTGAAGCAACATTTGGAATCAGCAGATTAAACATACTCTTCCAACTTATTTGACCACATTTCTGGACTTAAAACATCTGGATGAAACTCCTGATGGCAACATAGAGGTAGAATTTTAGGCATCTCATTCTCACTCTTTAGTGGCTATCCAGAAATAAAGCTCTAGATTCAGTATTATCCCAAAAAGTTCCAATATCTGTTATATTGTCCACCTTTAAATTTCACTACAGATCTACCAGAGGAAGCCCTGCAAGGTAGGAATAGTTCCATGTCTTCTTCTTTCATATCTCTTTTGCAAGAAAGTTGTATAAGAGAATAGTTATTTAAAAAATCCTGTCCAGTTCCTTGAATTCTGGAATTTCTGAGTGTCTAAAGACTCTGGGCTAACATTCCAACATTTCTGCCAGCAGCAAGAACAATGGGTGGGAAAGGGGGCATTTTTACATAATCAAAACCAATAGAGAAAAAGAAATATACTTCCCAGACAGCACTGAGAAATATTGTTTTCCTATGTGTTAAAAGCTTTTGAGAACCAGCAGTGGAAGATATGTAAATTAGCTACATTCTTCATTCTTTTACAAAAACCACAAGGAGAGCTCACCATTCGTTTTACAGTAAATCATTTCCCAGTAAAAGATCTTTACCAGATTTGGGTTATGCAAAATCTAATGCTGAATCCCACATCTGCTACAGAGGGGATCATTGACACAAAACAAAACAAAAAGGGAAATATTCTGAAAGCTACAACATTCTCAGGAGCAAGTTTGAACAATTGGGTGCTTGCTTGGACTCCTACCAGTATCTGAGGAAGACACCAGTCCTTGCTTATCTGCTTTGCTTTTTTGCTATGACAGGTCAATAACTAAAGTTGCCTTTTCAGTTACCTTTTGTTCCTCTTGATGACAATACAATCGGAGCCCAGAGGGCAAAACCTAGTAGAAGTGGGCATCACAAGATCTGAGAAACTTGCTTTCTTAATTTTGTCTTCATGCTACATTCTACCTGAGGTATAGATTTACTTCACCATTTTGGGGTTTATCAGTCCTATCCCAATATAAGTAGATACTCCTGGAAAACATGCTGAATTTCAGTACCATCAAGCCCAAGAGATCAGTTTTTCATTGAAAGATTGAGTGATAGACCTTAGAGATAAATTACAAGTACAAATAGCTTTTGATTATTAGAGTTTCTCTAATAGCCAGAGACATAAGAGTCATTTAGATGGATTGTCAAGAAAAGTGGTAAGACAGAAGCTTCATCCTATTGAATAAAGATATACTATATAGCACAAATATTTTTAAAATGCATATCCAGCCTGCCTTTCAAATGCAGGATTCCTAAGGTGTCACATATCAAATATAAATAACAAAAGTTCAAAAATAGAGTGGTGTGATCTATAAAAAAGGTGGTAAATGAACATTTTATTAGAAAACAAAAGCTTGACTGAATAGAGTTTTAAATATTGTATAGTAGAGCATTCTCATATAGGTTATTAATTCCTACTGGCTACAGATAATTCTTAAAATGTCAAACTCTATTCAGTCAAGCTTTTGTTTTCTGATAAAATTTTCATTTGCCACACTATTTGGGGTCTGTGGCCTTTTTGGGGGGGGGGGAAATAAGAGAAGCAATTCCAAGCTCTTGTCTTGTACAGTTCATTGTCTCCAAAGCTGTTAAGAGAAAAGAACAGAACTGGCTGACAAAAGTAGAAGCTGAAATTGCTTGAATCCCACAATAAAAGCCATGCCTGGAAGCACAGACTACCATAAATTAATCTGGAACAGAAATGCAAATGTAAGAATCCCCATCTTGGCTAGGAATAGAGAACACAGACTTTTTATGCTCAGAGGATTATATCGGGGAACATGAATTTTACATTCAAAAGGGGGGGGGGGGAGAGAACAGAACTTTCATTAGCATTAAAAAAACGGCCCAGGAAAGGTTTTATTCTCATTTGTGTGTGTACTGAATGGAGGAGCTACTTTGAATTTATTTATGTCTAGACAGTATAGGGTGAAGATTGCTGTGAGGATCCAAAAGAAACAGGCCCAAGAGGAGTAAAAAGGACAGCAAAAAGGACAGCAGCAACTAGGCGAGGAAAGGCCAGAGGGAACCAGAGAAAACAGAAATGAAGAGGTGAACTCCCTTAGCAGCCGGCCAATCCAAACGCCTGAAAAGGGTTAACTGACTCCCTAAAGAGACTTTCTAAAAGAAACAATAAGAAATCTATCAGCTTATTGGACAGTTCCTAGAATCCCTGAGCCAATGGGAAGGGCTGCCAGCTGAGAAGGCTTTTTGGTGAGCCGATCAAGAGGAGTGCAGGGTTAGAATGGAGCAGGCTCTGCTCATGCGTTTTTCGGGGCCGAGGTAAGGACCCCAGCCAGCTTGCTTTAAAGGCAGATCGGTTTGCAGATAACAAAAATAATCTGACTCGCTCTGTGGTTGCTCCTGAAGGCAGGGCCACGACACAAGAGTTGTAAGTGGCTTAGTAATGCTTTCTGCGTGTTCGGTCTGTTTGCTTTTACCGCAGTTACTTCTTGCTGCCTAGATTTAATCTTATAATCAGAGTGCGACTTGGAAGATGGAGAGAAAATGCACTCTTTGTGCTACAGAATACAAGCCCTGCGGCGTGGGAGTGTTAGTAGACTCCATGCAGCATGGAGGCAAAAATGTCACAATTGGAAAAACATAAGACAAAAGCCACTTTAAAACCTCCAGTGTTCAGAAAACATTTTAGCCTGACCCATAATCTTTCATAACCCAGAGAAAACACAAGAATCACTAGGAGACCACCAGTATTGTAACTGAAAAAGCAGCAGAATGAAAAATTTCACCACCTGAATATCCTGTATCTTCTGGTATAGTCACCCTACTCCACTACACAAAAATAAATTGTTAGTATCTCCCATTCATGTTTTTCAGGATACACGTTCATGTGCATTTGCTGCTTTGCAAGAAAATCTTGCAGGGTATATATTCATTTGCATTTCTTGCCTTGCAAGAAAATCTCGAAGTTGCCATAATGGGAAAGAATATGAGGAGAAAATAAGATCAAAGTATTAGAATCCTCCAAAGGCTTCCCAGCCTCTTTGCCAAAATTCTTTTGTTGCATTTAAAACTCCCTGGAAATAGTGGTATAGTAGCATTGCACTGTGATCTGTTTTTCAGCCACTTTTCCCGAAAGCTGTGACCATGATTGCAGGTTGCTACAGTAGCTGGAGGGGGGAGGGAGAGAAGTTTTAAATACAATAATGCATATAGGAAAAGACAGGCTGCAAAAACAGGATACTGAATCTCAATGAGGCAAGAGTTCTCACCAATGGACCACCTACAAAGTCATCAGAACCACAGCAAATCAAAGGTGAATTGTATTTTTCAAGCAGCTTCAAATAAATTGGCACCAAATTGGAAATAAATTGAACAAAGTAGGGAAAGCTGTTGAAATTATTTTCAATCCCTTAAAAATAGCTCCATTCCAAACCACATGACCTGTGAGGAAAAGAAAAGGAAACTTAGAACAGAGAAGCCATTAACTTTTTCTAAACTTTTGCCCAGTTGCTTCTCCCATTTTGATGCATGGGAGTGGCTGGAATTTTTCTCCAACTCTTAGCAATGCCACTCTGGTCATGTGGCAGGGTCTCAAGAACAGAATAGTTGATTACTCCCAATCACCTTTCCCATAGGAATGTCTTAGGGATTTTTTTTTTCTCTGCAGCCCATTATCAAACTTGATTTGGGCTTATTTTTGTTTTTTTGTTTTTTTGCAAGCTTCTCTCCACATACCAAATTTGATCCTTATTTCCATTTGAGGACCAACTGAAAAAATGCTCATGTTTGACTGCTTGCTTTATATTCTGCCTTTCCTTCAAGCTGCATATAGTACTATACTTTTCCCCAACAACTCTGTGAGATAGGTTGGGTTGAAAGATAATGATGGACTGTAAATAACCCATCAGATTTCATAGATGAGACTGGGCTTGAACCTGTTTGCTCCAAGCTTTTTCCATCTCCTTAGCCACTAAGTTATGCTGGTTCTCAAGGTGTGATTGGTGATTGTTTTCATTTCAGCCCCCAAAATGACTTATTTTCATACTTGAGAGCCTTGGCCTCCTGAGGCCCATAAATTTATCCTCTGAGTCATGTGGGGGTGAGAGTTACTGGGAATCAAGCCACACAATTAATACAGATCTACTAATCAGGATGTTGAAATTTTTTGCTGAATATTTTCAAACTTCCCCTCAAGTTCATGAAGCTCTTAAGCTGAAAAGGTATCTATTTTATCACTTAGCTGATAAGCAGCTCACTACTAGAAGAACAAGTACAATAGTAAATCTGGCTTGTCATAACGGCATTCCAATTATTTTACTTGAAGTTAGAAACATTTTTCTGGCTTGCTCCACCAGTAAATAAATGCTTAGTGTTAACACCAGTGAATGATACAAGCTGGCACTGCAGGAGGAAAACATGCAGAGTCAAGCAACCAGGTCACAGTCTATAAACTTTCTCTAAGGGTTATAATGCTAGCCCAATCCCCAAGATTTCAATTGTCATTGAAGCTATTTATGAGTATTTTATGCATTGAGTCATGTGCAAAAGAAAGCCAGGTTAAGAATGCTTTAGGCACAGCCTACTTTTGCTTAGAACAGGGGTGTCAAACTCAATTTCATTGAGGGCCACATCAGCATTGCGGTTGCCCTTGGGGGGCTGGGTGGGTGTGGCCAGGGTGGGTGCAGCCTACTGGGTGGGCGTGGATGGAGTGGGTGTGGCCTGGGTGGACAGGGCCAGCTCTACATGGTTCGCGTCAAGGGTGCCTGGGGGTGCCTGGGCAGGAGTGGGACAGATCTGAGGGTCTCTGGCAGAAGAAGGTGGGACCGGGGCAAGTGCCAAGGCGTGGTCCATTTCTTCATTCCTCACAAAGAGTGACACCTCTCCAGCATGCACCCAGGGGGCGGGGCTGACGCGGCAGTCCCTTGAAGTTTCCAGATGGCCTTGTGGAGCTAAGACTGAATGCGTTTCAGCATAGATAGCCACCACAAAATTGTACATTAGCTCCCGACCGGCCTGGACCAGGGCCAAGGCAGCGGGGGCCGTTCCCTCACTGTTTCCAGGATGGCTTCGTGGGCCACATGAAACCACTTCGCGGCCCGCATCCGGCACCCGGGCCTTGTGTTTGACATGTCTGGCTTAGAAGAACATCATTTTGTGCATAAATGCATGACTTTTGACATCAGCAAAATAGAAAACCACAGAGTCACAAAAATTTCCAATCTGATATTGGTAATCTGGATGGGCTGGATAGCAGCCTTTTAAAAACTGGATCCTGATCATCCTATTACTGGTAAAATATCCAGCGAGATGGAGTCTATTACTCCAAGAGAAAAATGGTCAAATCCAGGAAAGGCTCTGCTCTTGTATCTGTCTCTACTTCCCCGGGCTATAAAGAATTACTCTGTTGCCTCCTACTATTAAGCAGCACTGAGGGCCACATTAGATATGAGTTGACAGAGCTGGAAGAAGCAGTAGCTCTCCTGACTAAGAGGTTGAGCAACCAAGAAGGAGCAGTAACTTTTTCAGCATGTCATTTTCTTGGTCTGGATTGTTTTCCTATTCCCAAAAGGTTACTATTTGCTCTGTGTATTTTCTTCTTCAAAGCACATTAGGATCTTAGGGAGTGTTGAATTTCTATTTTGTATTATTCAGGGGCTATCCTTTGCAGAAGATCTGATCTGGAACCTCTGGATATTACATCTTATTTGGCAAAATGGAGTTCAGTACTATTAATGAAAGACTACAAACTATCATCTCTTGTATGTAGTTCAGTTTAGTCATTTTTTGAATTCTGTATAGTCCAAGCTCAATGTGGTTATTTTGGCCTTCTCATGGCTTACAAATTCTGAGTTCTGAAATGGACAGATTAACTCTAGAGATGAAAAATAAAACTGAAACAGAGTATTATGAAATTTGGAAATTTGTACGATTGGTTAGAGATAAGGAAGATCGCTGAGATGATTATCAATTGACTAGTTGATATTATAAGGACTTCCTTTTAGTACCTATATTAGGACACAACTGAATGATATGTAAATACAACGTTGATGATTGAAAGATGGTTTATCAAAACATTTACAGATGTTATACGCACAGTTTATTATATTCTGTCCTGCTATAGAATGTATTTTAAGTTTCTGTTTGTCTTTCTGTAACATAAGGTAATACTAAGAGCACTGTTGAAGCCAGGGAAGTTGAATTATGTCCCTTTTTTTGTTTTTAAAATGTACATTTAATAAAATTTGTATTAAAAAATAAATAAATTCTGAATTCTGTAAACCAAAGTGGTGGCTAGTCCGGGTTGAAAAACATGGTCTGCTTAGACTTTAGTTAAATATCTGTGGATAGCTCGAGAGGTGAGGATTAACATAAGTAACTGGATAAATCTCAGTTGGCTGCATATTGTTCAATATGCTCAGCTATTAACCAATTACTATGACTGGGTTCGTAAAATGAGCCAAGGTAATATCAGATACTTACTATTATGCCCTAGATTAGCATTTCTCAATCTTAGGAACTTTAGGATGGGTGGACTTCAACTCTCAAAGTCCCCAACTAGCAGGGAAATTCTGGGAATTGAAGTCCACACATCTTCAACTTGCTTAGTACAATGTGTGAACTTGGCATGGAATATTATGCAGTGTTTTATTTTGGACACCAAAGGGATTGTACATTTATCTGGTTTTATGCTATCCTATCAACTTTTTTTCTATTGCAATAACTGCAAATCTTCTTGGATTAGTCATGAATAACACCAGGAAGAACTTATTTTTGCAATGCAGTTCCATTCCAAAGGCAGCTGGGTTTTGTTAAGTATAATTTACTAATCTGCGGTACAGATTGTCAGGGAATTCCCTGTAAATTTATTTCAAGTCCTTCCTCTTTGAAGGGATTTTATATTAGATACTGTATATGTGATGGTAATAATGCTCCAGTTCCCTCTGGCTCCTTTGAGAAAAAAAAACCTTGTCCATTCTTAACAGCTTTCGCTATTTATAAGTGTGTATTGTTAATCATACCTACAAGGTATTAATGTAGTTCGAATTTCCCTCTTCTGGTTCTATCAAATATTTACCATACTCTGGCTTTTGCTTTTCAGGGGACTTTCACCCCAAATACTGGAAAGCTTAGCTTTCCTGTTCTACCACAATATACAGATCATGAAGAGTCTTGAGACAAGAGTGGTGAAGAGTGGTTCTTAATACCTGGTTAATGTTCCCAATGCTCAGTGGACAAGCTGTGACTGAAATTACAGGTAAAAGATTATAATCATCTACATTGCCCCACCCCACCCCAGCAGAGAAGATTTTACTTTTCCCAATCCCTTGCCTAAAGAAGCACGGGGAGGGAAGAAGCAGGACATGATCTGCAAATTTCTGTGTTACAGAGATTGATTATTTTTGGGAGATCCAGAAAGGCACAAGATCAGTTCTTGAGGTCTTTCTCTGGGATCCTAATGGGGGCTACTGGATTTACCTCTTCCTTATAGGAGTGTTATATTTATCCAGGTAATCCTTGATTCACAGTCATTAGTTTAATGACTCTTCAAAGTTACAATGCCACTGAAAAAAGTGAGTTATGACTGGTCGTCACATTTACAGCCATTGCAGCAGCAGCAGCATGATCATGCGATCAAAATTCTGGCATTTGGCAACTGCCACGATGGTTGCCCCATTCCAGGATCATGTGATCCACATTTGCAACTTTCCCAGCTGGTTTCTAGTAGGCCAAGTCAATGGGGGAAACGAGATTAACTTATTGACCATGTGGCTCACTTAACAGCTTGCAATGATTCACTTAACAATTGTGGCAAAAAGGTTGTAAAATAGAGCACAACTCAACGATTAGTGACAGAAATTTGTGGTTGTATGTTGAGAACTATCTCTACATAGAAATATTACAAAAATGTCTCAGGGATACTGTTTTCTGCTGGAAATAGAATCATAGTATTAGCCATTGAATTCCTCTCTGCTCAAGAGACTTGAGGACAACATGCTAAGCCATGACATGGGATATTTGTTTCTAGCTTTGTGTCTAGTGTTGTGTGAAACTAGTCCTTATGATCTGTTAGCCATAGTTTATAACGTTGTGTAACTTTGGCTAATTATGTTGGATCTATACCACCTTTAAGCAATCTACAGATTAATGAGACATGTGAGCATTACTACAATGATTGGAGTCACACAATCACTAAGCCATTTGTTTTCTTTTATTATAGCTTATTTACCAAGGTATAAACATGATTTATAAACTGGAATGATTGGTTTCATGCAATGTGATAAACTAGAAATAAACATTATATTATGGCTTGGTGCAGTGTGTGAATGCAGTCTGTATGTAGTAACAGACCTAAGTCAAAGATTTGAGACTTGGCCCAGCAGTGGTATTTTTCCTGTTTATACAATATATCTAACTCAGTCAGACACTAACCCACTCAAAACGTCCAAGTAATTCTATCTGTAGACAGTCACGTTAAATTTAAAATTGATTGTGGGTTTTTTTGAAGAACGGTATGGGAGGCCAATGCACCCTTTAAAAGTAATTTTCAGCAGGAGGCCTTGCACATAGAATCCACTCATTCAAGTTAATACAATCTTAAAGCGATGGAAAGGGAAACAAACATCATCTCTACATTTTCTACTCAAAAAGCCCTCCCCTCTCATTTATTTAGGGCAGTATTAACTTCCCCTGTTTGTCAATAGGTTCTCAACAAAGCATCTAGTCAAGATCTTATTCCACATATTGTCAGGTGCCAGAAATCAGGAACCAAGGCTGTTCAAATGAGTACAAGTTTACTTGATCTCTCCCTCGGGCTCAGCCTGGTTATCTCCTACACATATTCCTGTATGTAATCTAAATTGGGTCAGAAAAATGTCTCATTAAAATTTTTCAGCTTTATTTGTGGCTGATGTTGAATAGTCTGTATTCACACGGGAAATCAGAATTCATAATGATAAAAATTACTCAAGATCATATCAAATCTTTGTGGCTACAATAACCAAGGCACAATCAAAAGGAAGGGAAAAAATAGTTTTAAAAAGTGAAGGGCATCAGTGAAGGTGGCAGGCACATTTTTTTTTTGCAAGCCTTAACTCAATTTCCCTTGGTGCAATTCATCATTGTTACATGGATACAGTGATCACACTGACAAATTTTATTAGAAGGTACAAACTACAGCTACAGCTCACTTCAGATGCAGACTTCATCAGCTGTGGCTCATGAAAGTTTGTGCCCTTTAACAAAATTTTGTAATCTGAAAAGATGGTACCACTTTTTCCCAGTATAAATTAACATGGTTCTTCTACAATAACCACCTGATAAAGCTCTATAGACTTTCTTGTTCTTCTAATCTTTCATTGTCTTCTCTGCTGTCTCAACCCTAACCCTAACCCATTATATGATATAGGGACAATCACTCTCTCACAGCCTAATTGACTAACCCCTACAGCAGTTCCCCAACCTTTTCAGTTTTATGGACCAGTGGGGGGGGGGGAGAGGTGATGGTTCCGCATAAGTGGCAGGCAAGCACATGCGTACAGTTCCATTTGCGTGAGCAGCAGTTAAGTGCACGGGCAAGCTCTCATCCACTGCTTGCGCAAGTGAGGATGAATGCGTGCCCACTGCTTCCGTGACCTAGTTCCGAATGGCTTATGGCCGATAGAGGACTGTGGCACAAGGGTTGGGATCCCCTGCCCTACAGGATTTCTGTGGGGGGGGGAACTGGAAGGGGTGCTGTGTATACTGTCTTGAGCTCTTGGAAGAAAGGCAGGAGGTATATTTAACAAATAAAATGAACTACCTAGGTCCTAGGACAACCTGGTCATACTTCCCAAGATAGAAATAATACTTACACAAATGGCACTGGGTGTGTGTGACAAGAATAGCCAGATATTGCTAGCAGTAACTGCATCCTAGAATCTGGAGTGATGATTCATTATAATCATGATTCATTATAGTCACTGTGAGGGCAATTGAATCCAGAGAACAAATGAATTAGGTAGGCCCAGGATGGGGAATTTTGGCTTATGGGTCTATTTTCCCACTTCCGCCAAAATTTCTCCCTCTTTTACCCCTGCTATCTTCTGTGGCAAAAGCTACACCCCAGCCAAAGGGCTTGTTTGGCAAACATTGTTCTGATTTGGTTACTCCATGCTTTCCCTGAATATATAAAGTATGGAATGCTCAAGACTGGATGTGGATGGGTGTTTGCAAGCATAACTGTTGAAGGAAAAAGAGGGCTCAAAGCATTTCTATGGCTTTGAAAGGACTCCTCCTGGTGCTACAAGATATCCGTCAGGCTTTGAGTTTTGCCCCCTTCCCCCCTCCATTGTGATTCTCTAAGCTGCTCATAGGAAGTGCTATAATTTCTGCAGGTACTGTAGATATGTATTCATTGAATGGTTCAATTGCTCCAACCACTAATTTGGCCTAGAAGTGCTCTAGAACAGTGATGGTGAACCTTTTAGAGACTGAGTGCCCAAACACTGGCCCCGCCCCTGCTCCACCCCCACACTGTCTCCCCGCAGGGCCACTCACCGCCTCCAGGACCCAGCACATATTGCCCAGGCAGCGCAGCAGCGCCATGGCAGCCACGCCCTCTGCCCGCGCCTCGCAGCATCAACTGTACGCGATGGGACGTGAGGGCAGAGTTTTGTTTACACTGCCTACCTGCCATGTCTTGGCTGCACTGCTCCGTGTGGGCCACTCTCAGGGGCAACTCCTCCAAGGGGGCTGCTGGTGAGGGGGTCGTGGGGGGAGACGAGCCTGGGGCAATGGCACGTGTGCCTACAGAGAGGGCTCCGAGTGCCGCCTCTGGCACATGTGCCATAGGTTCGCCACCACTGCTCTAGAATAATGTCACTATATATTACATAAGAAGATAAATCTCTAGAATTGTGAATATAGTTCGGAAATATTCTGCATTGGCTTGCCTTTTATATTTTCATGGCTTAATTGTCATTTGAATTGGTTGTTTGTTATATATCTTCTTGAAAGGGAAGGTATGATAATAAAATATCACATGAGTTGCATGAATTTTGCAGAAAATAAAGATCAGGCCGTACATCCCCCTTAAGACATAATACCAAGCAAGCTGAGTGTGTCCAAGCAGCTTAGTGTGTATATGCTAATTGCTGTCATCTGCCCAGAAGAAGCCAGAGAACAAATCCATGAACAAAGTATATCAAATCCTGGCTTAATCCTTTCCTTTTTCTGATGCATGAAGTCAGAATGATTATATATAATGCTAAGCTTAGCTAACCAAGCAGCGAACTATTTATTAGCAGCACATTCTTGAAGGAGAAATCAGGATATAACTCCTGCTCAGAGACGCTCTGGTTGAACACCTAAAGATATGATATTCAAATAAACAAAGAGTCAAACAAAGATTTAAAAAAGCTCACCTTTTCTTCATTTTTTCTATTCCTTTATTCGCTTTCTTTTTTTTTTTTCATCTAAAGGCCCAGTCATCACTTTGGCTAGTTTCTTGCTTTTCATAAATATATACATATTTTAAAATTTGTTTATTTTAATGTTTTAATCCACTTGTTTATCAGGATTATTTTTCTTTTGCCCTAATCTCAACTTATTTTTTCACTTTTAGAGGTGGGAACATAGTGAATTATTGTTTTGATTAGGAGATAAAAGTTGCTTCTTCAAAAATGATAAATTGCACCTCTTGGAGCCAATCCTTAATATCATGAATATTACTACTTTTCCAATTTCTCTAAATAAGAACATATTCTTTAAAGGCATAGATGTTATGCACTGTTATAATGTTAAGAGAATTATTTTTAACTCTTTTTATGTAGCTTTTGAAACGGATTTGACATTTGATTAATATGTGACAGATGTAGATATTTTTCTACTTTACTGATTTTTTGGTAGGATAACTTGGGGAGGTGTATTTTTTGTAGCATTTCATATTTTTCTCTGGTTTTGGGAGGGATTTTGTGTTTTTTTTTTCTTTCTGAAAAACTTGCTAATATAAATAAATGATCATTTTTTAAAAAGCTTGTGGAGTAGGAAGCAAGAAAACTTTTGGATTTGACTTTACCATTTGTATCCCTTCCATCTGAGCTTGTTAAATAGTATCCAAACATTCTGAAAAAAAATAAATGATGCTAACATAAAATTCTGAAATATTTTTAAATAATTCCTTCATTTGATGGTTGGGTTTTAAAAGTATTTAATCTATATAATACCTAGCATTAACAGTACAACTTAAACAACCTTATGTTCATTAACATATTAAAAATCATATTTAACATTGATATAAACTTTTTTTGTTATCTTTAAAGGTTTGTTTAAATCAGCAGTTTCCAATTTCTATTAAATAAGTGCCATTACTTAATTATTATCTGTATTCCATAATGTATTATTTGCAGTTTATAATGCAATAAAACAATTAACTTGGGAAAAGGTACTCTTAAGAATGAATAAAAATGTATATTTTTCTGAGCAATTGATTACTTTTACACATATTGAACCTATTCGCCCAGTGTTGAAGCTTTTTAATAATATTCAATAATATTCAAAATCTTATTTTGGGGCACACCTCGAGATAAAGTCAAGGGTCACTTTCCCTTCTTTGACTAACTATTCAGTCAGTTATGAGATTGTTGTAGGATTACGGTATCACAGTACTCTGGCCTTTGGCTACTTCCCTAAGTTCTTAAATTGATAATCAGAATTTTGGACGGAGGAGCAACAGTTAGATGTCTAATATTAAATTACTTTTAATGAGCCATTGAAATTCCACGGCTCTGGAAACGACATTTTAGGAGTCCTCCTGGACTCTTGGCTCCTGCTTAAGCAGCTGGTGGAAACTCTAGCTGGGAGCAGAGCAGCTTTGCCTTGATTTGGCTGGTGCACCAGTTATAATCTCCCTGGACCAGGATGCAATGGTGACAGTAACTCGCATCCTGTTCCCTATTTGGCTGGAGTACGAGAATGCATTTGAGATGGGGATGACTTTGGAAATGATTTAAAAGTTGCATCTGGTCCAAATGCTGTAGCTTGGTGTACACAGCTAGGCAGATGACTTTGGAGAAGGAATCAAGGACCATTAGGGAAACACCAGGTGCAAAAGAAAAAGTCCAGAATAGAGGAAGAACATTGCAAGGAGACTCAGACTACCCCCCCACACACAAACACACAATTCTGAATCCTGAATATAACAGGGAGAGTTTCGCTAAGCAAGTAGAATCTGTTTTGTTCCATTGAGTCTTTGGCCCAAAATGTTTGGGATGTCAGCCATAGATCCTGCTTAACGTATTATACAGTTGTCCATTGTATGGCTGTATTATTCATTTACGGTTTGAGTTTGCTGTATATTTGTTTCAGATTTAACATTTGATATCCTGAGTCTATTAGTCTTAGAGTGAGAACAAAATATTATAAAAAACAAATTATAGACAAACAAATTGAAAAATTCAAGTTAATTTTGGATGCATGGGGAAGGCTGCATAGTACATCACTGTTTATTGCAGCATCTGCATGTTCCTTAAGAGAACAGTGCATGGATCCAAGCAAAACCTTCAAGACCTATAACGTGTCTCTCTAACTGTTCACAGTAGTCATGAGTTTATCATAGTAGTGGTCTTTGTGATACACACTGGGAGAAGAGGACGAGGGGAGACTTGACAGCCTAGACCAGCATCACCATGGCAAGAGTCTTGTACGTGAAACGACAACAGTGGAGGAGGAGTGCTTAGGAAGGAGTGCTTAGCACAGCTGTTCTTGATTCAAGAAGAACAAGGGTGATTGCCTCACTGTTTAATATTGTAGAGTTAGAACAATTCTGTTGACCTAGTCAGTCAACCAGAAGGGATTAGATTTAGCCCTAAACAGACCTAGTCTTGTTTGGAGTTTAACTCATGTCATATAAATATTTACCAGATAGTGGTTCTTTCCAACAACTGTACTAGAGATAAACTTCCAGAAAGCTCATAAAAGCAGGATTTTTTTTTTCCAGGCATTGTCTCAATTCTTGCTCTCTGCAATCACACAGGGGATCAAGGTGTAGAAAAGTAACCAAAGCAGATAAGGGATAAATCCATCCCTCTGCCCATGATGGCACCAACTGTGATCTTGCCAGTATGAATTTTCTATTCCCCAGGGGGAAAAAAAACCCACCCCCCCAAAAAAGAAAAGAAAAGCGACAGCCTCTTTTGCTGGATCTGGGAGAATTTTGAACACATCACTGATTGTCATTTTGTATCATTTGCTGGCAGCCACAACTGCCTGGGAAAGATCACAGCTGGGTTGTTGCAAACATAGCCTAGGGGTATTTGTAACTAGCCATGATGACAAAAGTGATGCAGTGTATGTGGTTGTCATGAAACCATAGATGAAACCAATTAAAAGAAAGCAAAAGGTAAAATGGCTATAGTTTCTTAATTGTCGCAGTGCTGACAGTGGTGTTTTGCTATCACAGTACAAGTTATGCTCTACTGTACTGTATTTGTGTTGTGATCCTCCCTTATTTAATATTTTCTTCAATCATCGAATCTAAAAATCATCAGTTTAGCTCTTTCCATTTTCAGCAAAAAGTCCATAAAAGATTTAATACTCTGCAAAACTACTTGTTATTTTATCTTCCGTTCTGGGTACTTCGATTTATTTTCATTTGATACAAATATAATAATCTTGCTGGCCAACAAAATAGTATCCGTTTTTATGAATGTATCCATCATAAACAAATATATCCTTCCAGAATGGTTCAGCAGTCTTCTCCTCCCTTTTATAACTTTCACTCCCTTTAATAATAAACATTTTTCTTTATTTTAATTTTGTAATCCATAAATAAGCATTAAAAAAATCAAAGAAGTTTTTTTTCATGCCCATAGCATGAAAAATTACTCCATACTTGTAAGAACATGATCTTCCCAGATCTCACATTTCCCTTCTTTTCCTACTTATCTCTTTGTTTAATACAGTCAGCCAATCAACTTCCCTAACAAATTTGAACATTTTTCTTTCCCACGGAGCTGTATCATCTTTTTCTTTAATTTGAAAAATACTTTAAATAAGGCACTATTCCAAATTGAACTAGTCCACGTTTTAACTTTCTTACTCCAAAATCCCAATAACCTTTTGCATTTAATTCTTTTTAAAACTTTATAACTTGTTCCTACCTTTTTTTTACTTTGAATCTTTCCTGAATCAAAAGTACAGTCATCCAGGTGCCAATAAGTGCTCTGCTGCTAGGGAGGTCTCTTAAAATTCTATTTAAACATACATTAGAAAGTGGATCGGGCAGACTCAGTGCCCTTTAAATAGGCTTCACACAAGGCTGTGGACATAGTCTTTTCTTCCATAGCTCCTGGTGCTCTATTTGTAGGTCATTCACAGGGTAACTCCAGACGCTCTGGGCTTCCTTGCAAGAAACTGCTTCCTTGGAGCTCATTGGGCAATCTCCTGACTTCTCCTGTTCCAGAGAAGCTCTGTTAGCTCAGGCATATGACCCTGCTGTCATTCTTTGTCTCTGCATTATCCCTGCTGTTTATGGAGCTGTCCTGTTTTGCCATGTTTCCACCTGGAAGTTCAACTGTAATGGTTTATATCAGTAGGAGGACTATGGATACAAAATAAGGAAATTGGAAAATTTAATTTGTTTGGGGATTAGTTTGAGTTAGTGATTCAAAATTACCTAGTGGAAGGGAAACTGCTTTCCCTTATTACTTATTACAACAATAAATACAAATACTAAATATGCACATATACCCATAAACCCCAGTGACCTACAACCACAGAAACCGTTTCAAAGAATAGTGGTGCTCCGACAACAATGCTAATTTTATGCATGCCAAAATACTGCAAGCATATGCAATACAAATCTGTTTGCAATACAGATATTCTTTATAAGCCATTCCTTATTATACATCTTAATAAAATGCAGAGTGACACACAATTTCATCCAGAACTCAAGCAGACATACACAATCTTTTTTTCTGCCCAGTTTTCCCCATGACAACAGTCCTGTGAGGCAGATTGGGCTGTGTTTTCATGATTAAAAGTGGACTGGACTTAGAGAAATATGAGTAGTTGTAATAAGTAGTTCTAGTTGAAATAAGTCTTTTTCAATTTGATGCCCTCTGGTTACACTGGGAAAATAGTCTGAATAGACTAAATCTTAAAATAATTAAATGTGAATTCTCATAGAAAAATCAGATCGTGTAAGACATTCCTTATCTTATTTTGACTCCAGTAAACTTAAAAGAAGCTTTGTAATATTTATTGTGGATGGATTTTTATCCTCCAGAGACCAATGCTTTATTTCCATTGAGCACAGATTTAAAATAGGTTTTAAATAATTTCCAATGCAACCCAACAAACTCTTTATTCTGTTCACTTTTCCTTCTTTCTCCTGCTTCCAAAGATGTATACATAATTAACTGTACATCTTGGGTTCAATTTCCGGAGGTTTTGAATGGTATTTTGGAAAGCTAAATCTTGGACAGCAGGAGCTGTTGCTTTAATCTAGACCCAGATGGGAAAGTATTTTCAAGCAGCAGCTGACATGTCAATCTAATGGGGTGTGGCTCTTGGTTTCATTATCACTTCTCTCTCTGGCCCCCAATCATCTGACCCCCAATCATTTCTGAACATCTCAGAAATTACTTTTAAAAGAATTTTACTTTTATTATTGCTATTATTTCTGTCAGACTTCTGCTTTATCTTTTTTCTCTTCCATCCAGCTACAGAAGGGGAAGGATGAGCATTTACCTCTATTAATATCAACCAAAGCAATGATTCAATCTCCTTGGCTCATTTTCAGCAGAAGTGCTTTTTAGCCAGAAGCTTTCAAAGAAGACTTTCCAAGGTTATTCTGCTTTAGATCCAGCCATGTATTCTAGGTTAACAAGATCCAGTTGGCTAATCTCACATGTTGTCCTTCTGATTTATATAATGGAAAAGGGTAATTCCATACCAAGTATGGTTTTTGTTTCTTGATGTTCATCCCAGTTTGCTAATTGAATTTTTTCCCCTCCTGCTTCAGGTTGACAGGGCTTTGGATCTGTCCCCCTGGATCTGTCTAGGAAGAAATAGTTTACCAGGCAATGTAAAGAACTGAGAAGATACATCTTCTCTGCCATATGGATATAGCAAAATCTTATAATCTTCCATCAAGAATGAGATGGACGCATATCTCTATTTATTAAGAACTACTGTGAATTGGCATGAAGCCTGCCAGAGTCATGCCCAACTGTTCTATGTTCTTCCTGGAGAGTCAGAATTACTATGGAGCAGTCAAGTAATCATCAACTGTATCAGCAAGAAATCAAAACATTCATTTCCCAATACACAAGAGCCATTAAGGGTAAGGAAGAAGAGAAGGATTCCAAGTTGGATGATAGAGATTACATCATTATGGATAAACCCATGAGCCTGTCCAACTGAAACCATGCCAATAGACCCAGATGATTCAAGATATTACTACATGCATCTCCAGCTGTTGACACTCTTTCTTCTCCCTTTGCCTCTTGCTTATGCTGCTTTTGGGAAATCATTTTAACAAAAAGATGGAGCTGAGACACTCACACAGGGAGTAGCATCTGAAACGAACTGTAGTGGCAAGATTGGCATGATATTATGCCACAGGGACATACTTGCATTTGGACATCTGATGCAAGTATATAAAGCTTCACATCTGTCTCTGCATATTTTGTGGATACCCTTCTTAGGGTCAGACTGTTACTTTAAAAAGAGCACTGATCTGGCAGATGTACATCCCAGGCATTGTAGGAAAAGCTATTTCTGATCTGCCATAGGTTAACCTGCTAAAATTTCAGAAGAACATTTTACTCCTCAGTATCAGGCCACATACAAGTTTAAATCTTAATGTTAAATTTGTGGTGGTTTTGATGATGATGTCTGGAGAGTGTTACATATTTAGTTAAAATATTGGACTAGGGGGACAGATTCAGTTTTATCCTCAGCTATGAATGTTCATTGGACAAGTTATCCTAGTGTCACAGCTTGCTGTGGGGACAATCTGCAGTATGAAGGGGTATTAAATACATTGAGTTGAGCACCTCTTGGAGTACAGGTGAGCTGTAGATATTATGGATATTACTTATAACAGGGATGCATTTCACCTGATGGGTGTACTTAGACCTCTATGTGTGGGAAAATTTAGATTTATATGGACAGAACACACACAGAAATCAAAGCAGCTGAAACATTTCTGAATATCTCTGGGGCTGTAGGGGAAGGAGTGGCAGAGCCTGGAGGCAGGCTCAAAAGAGAGATCAGTCTAAAATCCTCATGTAGGATTCTGGAGCATACTAAGTTCATCCCACTGTGAACCCTTATGTAACTTCTAGCAAGTTACATAAGTTGAGACTATTCCTGTGCATAGGAACAATTAGCAAAAAATCTGTTTAATTGAAACTTCAAATGTGGTCCTGGTTTTTTGTGTCTGAGGGGTGCAGAACAACACACTTGAAAAGAATGATCTAAGATAATTTATTATTATAAGATTGGTAAAGTTGAAAAAGATGGGAATTTCAATTATTTTTTTTCAAGACTCTTCTGACTAATAAACATATTTTGTTTAAAAATTTGAGGATACTAGGGAAACGAAGGAAGACTTTTACTGCTATGTCTAAGTTTGTAGATTTTGCTAAAATGTAAACCATGTTTTACACAGCATGATGACTAGGTTCATTCATCGTGCTGAGCCATAATAGCATTTGGTTGGGTTTGCCTTGGCATAATGTGTGGCCTCGGCCACCGTGATTTGTAAATCAGATTTTATGACATAGTATTATGACTGAATTAGGCTGAAATGGCTTCTTCAATAAACCCTATTTGAAATAAAACTTGGCCTACTATGATCTGTAATCCCAGCCATTGTATGGAGCAGCCCTATTCATATTGTGCACTTCATTTTTATTTATTAAATTTGTTTGCCTCCCATCTCACCCCTCTGAAGGAAACTCTCAAAGTTAGGCCCTAATTAATTAACCTCTTTGACTAACAAAGCTACGGTGTGATAACTAGCTATAATTCCAAAGGTTAATTTATTAAAGGATAAACTGTCAGCCATTTATAAAGTAGAAAATAGGGTATTTTCTATGCAGGCTAGAGAGTTGGGCTGACATAAACACTGAAGACATCTCTATATCTCTCAAAACATCTGGGAAAGCTGAAGTCCCTCTGTGCCATGGAATTCAGCAAAAATGGAAATTACTCAGCGTGCCTGGCTAGGTTTTTTTAGTTCCAGCCTGGGAGAAGAGAGGAAATGTTCAAGTGGAATTAAATGCATATGGCTTTTTTTAATTAAGTTTTGCATTCATTGCAAAAATAGTAATTGCCATATCTTTGTGGGAATGTTAAAAAGTTTACAAAGCCAAGTGCAATCTACTGTGCAAATTAACTGCTAAATGGTCATTTAATGACTACAGAGAAGGATCATGTTTCTCTTGCTTCTTTCATCTTCCAGGTGACATTATTGTCACGTGAATTATCAGAGGACTTTTAAACCATTTTCTTTGATCTTCTTTTAGTCTGTCTCTGTAAAAGCTCCTCACAGTATCTGTAGCATTTTTTACTCACCTTCAAATAAATAATATGTTTTACAATAGTTATATCAGGTTAGTTTGATCTTTACTTGTAAATTCTTGTCTGCATACACACAGCCTTAAAAGCAGATATTTCTACAGTGGAATGAAGCCTTGTTCAGTCCCAACATAGAATAGCACTAGCAATATCACTTAGGCTTATATACCACTTCATAGTGCTTTACAGCCCTCTCCAAGCAGTTTACAGAGTCAGCATATTGCCCCCAACAATCTGGGTCCTCATTAGATCAGGATTAGGTTAGCTGGTGCTTTTCAGATGTTTTGGATTTTGACTAACATAAGTCCCAGAAAGCATGGACAAGGAGTTGTAGAACAAACATCCAGAAGGTACCAGTCTGTGTATCCATGACTCTGGGTGGTTTAGGCTGGCAGATAGCCAGTACATTTCATAATGTAATTGTGCTCCGTGCAAAATCTTACATAGTCTTTCCTAGATTGTCCGTTGCTTAACTTCATTAGTTGACACCAGGTTCTACAAAAAAGGACGGCAAAGTTTTGAGGCCACTAGTGGATCATAATGATATAAAACTGTACAAGTGTTCTTGTTCCTTTGTATCCAATTTCCAACATAAGTAGAGAATGGATCCATCTATAAGGCTAGATTCAATATGTCAAACTGAAAGCTTTATATTACTTACCAATCTACCGAAACGTATTGATGGAATGCCCAATTTCTAAAAAGGGAGAATAGGTACAGGGCATGGTTGAGCCTCAGCTCCCTTTTCCTGCTAATCTTGCTGGGCCCTCTGCAACAACTTGAACTATTCTTGGTAACTCAGGTGGCTTTCTGCATGTTCTGTCTGTCATTCCTCCAATGCAGTTACATGCCAGCTATTTTGTTAGGTGGCTTTTACTGGTTTCTCGCTCTAAAGCCATAATGAATGCCATTCATTCTCTCAATGCCACTCCTCTGGAAAACTTATGTTTCTAAATGCCATGGGCCAAATTCCTTGTTAAAGAAAAGAGAGTAGAGTGGCTGTAATGCACGTTAGAAGCAACATTTCAGTTTTTCAGCACAGAATCAAGTCAGCCAAAAGCCTTCTTTGAACTCTTTTGAGTTTTACTTCATTTCAAAGAACAAGACAAATGTCTGGGAAATGTCCACTGTTGGCTTGACATGTCTAACTGGACAGTCAGGGAAGCTGAAAAGTAAAGTATGAAGGTAACATACTTTTCTTCACAGCATTGAACTAAATGGCACACAACTCTTTTATTCTAAAAATCGTTTACTTTCTTTGCAATGCCACGTAATTCTATTGCTTTATATTAAAGTGTTTTGCAGTCTTGTGGACAGATCTGTTTGCTCTGTCTTGAATGGAAGACCAGATAGGCTAGATTAGAAACTTGAAAAACATCCTGGAAGAAGTAGAATATCACTTCCAACTCCCAATTGTTGCTAAGAAAGATGCAAGATTATCTTTGTAGCCGTTAGATATTAAGCTCAACATAAGGTCTTCTTTAGCTATTTATCATGATCTTTGGATCCTCCTAATGTTGGCTACCTCACTTTCCTGCCTCGTGGGCTACCTCACCTACTATACCTCATGGTGCTGATTTGCCATAAAATAGAATAGCTTATTGGTCAGATCCCACCTCCAATATTATGTCCATTTCTAGATACCACTTTCATGATTAGAGAAATTGGGGTTGGTTTGCAAGCATCAGTATGCAGGCTGCTGCATTTTGCATCTAATGCTGTTTCCAAGTCGTCTTTAAAGGTATATCCAGGTAGACCGCGTTACAGTAATCCAATCTGGCGATAATGGGGACATAAATGACAGTTGAAGAATTGAAGCAATGACTTTTGAAGGACTTTCCGAAGGACTTGAGGGGTTATGCTTGATTATGTGTTGACTCTTAGATACCAAATAAAGGCATGAAGTCCTCAACTTATGACCACAGTTGGGACCAGAATTTCTGTCAGCAAGCAATGCAGCTGCAAAGTGCAACATCACGTGATCGCATCACTTAGTGACAGAAATCCTGGCAATCCTTGTTACTGTTGTAACTCCAGACACGTGCTTCATTAAGCGGGAAACAGAAGGTGTCCCTTGTAAAGAGAGTAGGGGTCCCTAGTAGGATGTGAGAGATCCTGGGAGACCCAATGCAGACTGTGCATGAGTTGGGGTGGGGGGGAATGATGTAGTGCGGAACAAGGTCAGAGAGACCAAGGAAATTGGGTACGAGGTGTGCACATGCATACTGTATGTGAGCTTTCCCCAGGAAAGCTGGGGAAAGAATACACTGCAGCTCTGGGCTGTAAGAAGCCCCTGAGCCACAGCGCAGAATGAAGTGCAGCCCACGATCAGCTCAGTGGTGCGATGCAAAGTTACTTCTTGCTGCCCTGGGAAGCCACAGTTGCCACAGTCCAGTCCCATCTGCATTTGTCCTCATGCTAAACTCCATCACACCAGATAACTTTCATCATTTTATTGCTCCTGCTGTTGTGCCTGGCCTGGTCCTTTACAAGGCAGCTACTGGCCACATGACACCATCTTCCCCAGTTCTTGTGAGGAAACCACCGGGCGGAAAACTGGGGAAGAAATCCTTGCGCAGCTAGCAACTGTCCTGTGAAGAGATAGTATGGGTATGCTTGGTCAGTAGTGGAAGCAAGAAGATGGCAAAGATCAGCTAGAGTGGCAGGGGCCACGGAGTGCAGGGCTAAAAGAGCATAGATAGATGGGTAGCAAAGTTGAAACATCCTTGCAGTGAATAAATGCAGAAGGGCTGCCAACTGCCCAAATTTTAATCACGTAATCTCAAGGATGCTGCAACAGCCATAACTTTGGAGACTGGTCATAAATCCCTTTATTCAGTGCCTCGGTACTTCTGAACGGTCACTGACTGAATGAATGATTATAAGTCAAGGACTATCTATAGCTAGGTTTTCGACATGATGATCTGTCCCTAAATTGGTCCTCCAAATGGGATTATGATAGGACTTTTCAAATATTTGAAAGGATGCAACATTGAAAGCCAACAGCTAATTTCCAGCATAATCCATAAGTCACGGGAAAACAAAGTCAGATAGAATATTAGGAAAAATCTTCCTAACAATAAGAGTATTCCAGTAGTGAAACCAATGGGCAGAAGCGGAAGCTGGGCAGCCAGTTCATTGAGAAAGTTTGATTTGGGTTTCTGCCCTGGGTGGGGGTTCTACTCAATTGTCCACCTAAGTCATCATTTCCCAACCTTGGTAACTAAGAGATGTGGACTTCAACTCTCAGAATTCCCCAACTAGCCATGGCTAACCTGTTTTGAATATGCAACTGCTGAATTCTTTTCAAGCAGATAATCATGAAGTAGTCTTAATAATAATAATAAAGTTGGAAGGGACCTTGGAGGTCATCTGGTCCAACCCCCTGCTCATGCAGGAAACCCTATACCATTTCAGACAAGTGGCCGTCCAGTCTCTTCTTTAAAAATTCCAGTGTCGGAGCATTCACCACTTCTGGAAGCAGGTTGTTCCACTGGTTAATTATTCTAACTGTCAGGAAGTTTTTCCTTAGTTCTAGGTTGCTTCTCTCCTTGATTAGTTTCCACCCTTTGCTTCTTGTCCTGCCTTCAGGTGCCTTGGAAAATAGTTTCACTCCCTCTTCTTTATGGCAGCCCCTGAGATACTGGAACACTGCTATCATGTCCCCCCCCTCGTCCTTCTCTTCATTAAACTAGACATACCCAATTCCAGTAACCGTTCCTTATATGCTTTAGCCTCCAGTCCCCTAATCATCTTTGTTGCTCTTCTCTGTACTCTTTCTAGAGTCTCAACATCTTTTTTACATCGTGGTGACCAAAACTGGATGCAGTATTCCAAGTGTGGCCTTAACCAAGGCATTGTAGAGTGGTATTAATACTTCACGTGATCTTGATTCTATCCCTCTGTTAATGCAGCCTAACACTGTGTTGGCCTTTTTGGCAGCTGCAGCACACTGCTGGCTCATATTTAAGTGATTGTCCACTAGGACTCCGAGGTCCCTCTGTTGTACAAAATATTTCCCAGATTAAAATATTGGCACTAAGGTAAAATTGATTTCCCAGTTTCTAGGTTGCGTTATGCCAGAGTCAAATGTGTAGCTGGATCTAGTCTGAAATGCCTATTACTGATCCAAGCTCAACATGACCTGATTTAACAGTCCCAACAGCCATAGATTGCCTTTGTTGTTTAAGAAAATATTTAACGTGTAAAGTTGTTATTATTGGTTGGGGTTTTTTAAATCTATATCTGGAATTGTCAGAATCTTTCATAGGTTTCTTAGAACAATCAAGTTAATGAGAACATCCTGCCATTCACAGTACTGGTAGACACAGAAAGACTATTGTGGAGTTTTAAACATTCAGAAACAGTCAGGTTTAGTGACTCTCTGATGTCAGCGGCAGAGAGCCAAGAAGAAGAAGATGAACAAAGAAAAACTGTTAAGGGGATGGTAACATCTAAGAGGGACATCTAAGTTATAACATTAAGAAAAACAATGTATGAATAGAGCCCCTTTGGGGAAATTAAGCAATGGTACCAAAATCTAATGCTGATAATAGAAAAAGTGCAAATATATTTTTAAACAGTTCACTGCAATCTATAAGTAAATATCAAGGAAGACTAATTTTACTCATGGAGTCTTTTCCAGTATGAAATTTGATTACAGGTTCCCCAAAGTTCAAGATCATGTAATTGGTCAGAAACTAACATGATCCTGTTGCAATATTTTTTAAGACCTGCAACTGTGTAATAGTACAAGAAATATGCCCTGCCACAAAATACTCAGGATTCAATCCACATAGCCTACCCAACCATGCCCTTGGTGAAAGCACCCTATTCAATATACTAGTCATTTTTCTATCAATTAGCCCTCTGTGCCTCTAAACAAGTTCAGGCTACGGTTAGCTCAGGATAAATCGGATAACCCTGACAAATTTTCTTCAGTATATATTGCATTGCTATAAAAACTAGAGTTGCTGGCTGAATACTTTAGTCTAAGGCAGTGGTTCTCAACCTTTTCTTCACTACAGAAGCCCCTTAAATACCGTTTGTGGCCACAGATCCCTAAGACTTAACTCAAGATTTAAATCATAACATTTCTTCAAGCCTTCACAGCCCTCCTGTGATGACGTCATGGTTCCCTGGGGTCCACGGACTACAGGTTGAGAACCACTGGTCCAAGGCAAAACAAACAATCTGGGACATTCTAGATGTTGCCAAGCTTTAACCACTGACTACAGGATATGTTTCCTCAGAATGATGGAAATCATAGTTCAGAAATATCTGAAGTGCCAATGATAATCTTGTCTAATCTAGGGTACAGAGGATGCTATTTTGCGTACACATCTTATATATCCAAGCAATTTAAGTAGTGGAGGGGGGGAGATTTAAACCTCTTTTAAAGTACCATATTTTCCGGCGTATAAGACAACTTTCTAAAGCGCGGAAATCGGCGCTGAAGTCGGGGGTCGTCTTATGCGCCGAGTCGTCTTATATGCCGGAAATTATGGTAGTTTCCAGTGGATAAGACGACTTTCTAGGCATGGAAATCGGCACCGAAGTCGGGGGTCATCTTATACGCCGGCAAATACGGTATTCCAAATTTATTCCTAATCCTGGTCTTATAAATCAAAATTTTCTCCAACTGTTTCATTACTCTTTTCAGAACGTAACCAGTTTTCCTTAAGGAAAATTACTTCTGATCAGCATTTAAATGGAGGTAACCACTTTTCCTGCTTCTCCAAGGTTTTGAAAAGAAAGCACTAGTCTAGGAACCACAGCCCAGATCTCTAGTTTAAAATAATGCTTTTAAGTAAAATAGGTTAACTTAGTTCAGTTTTAATTCTTCATTGATGAAGTGGAACTAGTAACACTCAATTTTCAGGACAACTGTATATGAGAATCATTGATTTAGTTGTAAGCTTGGTCAATCTAATTTTATCACACCCTAGCAAGCTGCTACTATAGCAGCTATAGAAGTTTATGCCCAATAGGCATCTAAATATATGACTAAACTTCTGACTCCTATCTTTTCTACTATTGCATAGATGCATCACTTGTAAAGGCTTGGGATCAACTCATTTGGCTTTTGAATGAAGGAAAGCAGAAATGTTTTTAGAATTTTTTAAAGCTGTCTCTGGATAGAAGAATGGCATCTAAAATGCAAGTGAAATGTCTATATTTTTGGTGATAACAATTAGCTTTTTTGGCAATTGCTGCATTAATTATCATTCTAAATCTAAATTCTTCAATAACTACCATTGCAAATTAAGAGACCTCTTAACATTCCACTCTTGACAAATTGTATTATTTCCTTGCTTCCCACTCAGACTGCAGACAATAGGTAAAGGTAACACTGAGTATTGCCTATCATTGATTGCTCTCACCTTATCCTTCCAGCAATTTCTAAAAGAAAAAGGAGGAAATAGCAAACACACCGCACTCCTTCACAAACACATTAACTGTGATTACATAACATGAACATTTGATTAGAATGGCATGCCGGTGGAAGTTCCTTACAAACAGCCAACGATATGAGTTCACTAAGAAATGTTTAAAACTGCATTTATAAATAATATAAATAATATTTGTTGTGACTATATCGTCTGACCAGTTACCTCAGTTCTCTGAAGGTTCTGCAACTTATGTAATTATGACAGGTTAGCAAACATTAGCCAAAGTAAGACAATTTACTATATTACTTACTAGTATAGTTATTGGTAAAAATAAATAAATGGTTGCCAATAAAACTCTCATAAGATAGGAGAAAACCTTTACTAAATCTATTAATAGCTTTTCTCCTATAAAAAAGCCATAAAAAGTACAGTATAATTCTCACTGATTGAAAACAAAGCAGTAGTGCATTTTAATGCATAGAAATGAAGTTAGACAAATTGTCCAGTCAACTCATCATGATCTACTCTGAGGAGTAGTAATTCTCAATAGTAACAATATATTACATTACTTTTTCCCAGGACCTTTCTCCCAACTAAAACTGCCAAGTGCTGTTTGCATGGCACACTCACCCATAAACTAGATACCCATATTTTAGCCTAGTACTTTATACAATGTTCTCATGGCATTGCTTTTTGGTTCTGCATATCATGAAAACTCATAAAATTAATCAAACCATAGTATAGTTAAACACGGGTAAGTACAATCACAAATTGAATCTGACATCTTTTCTATATAGGTCATAGCTAAAGTCATTGTACTATGATGTTTCCATTGATTCCTTCATTTTTTTTTAAGAATATAGAATATCCATGATACCTGAGAAAAGAACAAGAATGAAAGTAAAATACTTTACTGTACTTTCTTTTAAAGTAAAATGTGTAGTTCTATTATAACACCAGTGCTGCAAAAATCCATACATTCACAGATGGCAACAAAGAATTAGTGCATTGTGTATCTCTCTGCTGCCATGTATTGGTCATATGGATTTTGCAGCCCTGATATAACGGCCTTAATTCCCATAGCTGAGAAAGAATGAGACATTCCGAAGACTGCGTGCCCCATTCTAGGAGGGAAAAAAATGTTTCTGTGGAGAACATATGAGGCATAGGATAATTCAAAGTTTCTGTCAATATTAAATTGCAGCAAAGCAGTATATTTTAAGACAGTTTGCTCTTAAATACATGCTTCATAAGAATAATCAAATGTGGTCTGAAATGCTAGGGAGAGGCATGCATTCTTCCTGTCTAAATGAAATCTCAGTCCACAAATTACAAATTAAAAACATTGTAAAGAAATTGTATGTAATGCAAGAAATTCTGTCCTAAAATCACCTCAGGAACAGATGGTTGGTGCTCTTTAGACCACAGGTTTTGGTTTTTGCTTTTTTTAAAAAATTCTGTGCTGTAAATTATTCTGTGCAAAGTATTTTCAAGCTTTTCACTAAATACTGGCAATGCATAGAAATAAATAAAGCATAGAAATATATTAATTTCCTAAGTCTTTACACTACGGCTATGTTCTTAAGCTTATGCATAGTGTACTAATTTTCTGGGTTATACAACATACTAAGGAAAATAGATGATTATCAATTACTGAGTGTGAAGAGTATGTGCACGGCCAATGACATTTGAGATGGTCATTTCTTTAGTATTTCCATTTATATAATTTAGTTTTTAAAACAAATACTCTTTTTAATTTCAAGTACATTTTTCACCTGTTTCCAAAAGACATATTTTTTTTAGGAAAGGTAGATTCAGATGAGTTTCCTCAAATTTCCACAACTAGAAAATATGTAAAGGTTAATTCATTTTAACCTTAGATGAAAATTTCACCTTCTAATCAGACTTTGCTAGAATCGAAGTGATTAGCACTTACAAACAAAAATGATTAACTAGTAATGATTATTGTCATTTTCCTCGCTCTTCTAACTGTAACAATGTGAATTGT